TTTCGTATACGCCAAATAACGGTTCTGAATGAGACAACAGACAGAGAATGTTTTATTCAAACCCTTCTCGCTACCCTAACTAGAGCCTACCAATGTCATTGCCCAATTAAGTAAATTACTAACTAAAATAATTATACATGCTAACTACAAAACACACTATAATATATTAGTAAGAACGAGCAACTTAATTTGAAACATTGCAAAAATATAGCAATGCGTTCCCAATACTTGAATATATGTCGCACAGTATAATATATCTACACATGATTCGATGACGTCACAATATACATCACCTTAATGGGGGTCGTAGTAAAGAACAAATCATGCTATAATAGTAACGATAACATATCGAACATAATAAATTTAACGATTCATACAGCCGATCACAGAAATGATAATTGACTGAACCTAGGTCAAGACATGCCTCGTTGGCAAAATTTACTTTAATCACCTTCAAGACTCTCAAAATCACAACAACACAAATGATTGCACAATTTACTCTGTATAATGCAATCATCTTTGTCCCGTTTTAAAAGTTTTCAATAACACACAATAAAGCTTTGAAAATAAGAATTAAAATTCCCGTGTTGAAGCAGAATATTAAAGCGCGGTGGTCGTCGCGCACCGCGTGTTCGAATTTCATGTAAATAAAAAATGTATTTTACACGCGTTGTATACGTCGCTATGAGTCCCATATCGAACAGGACGCGGCACGACCACTGCCCTTTATTTTTTATGACAATAAACATAATCTAAACGACATAAATTGAATGTCCATTCCTCATTAAATAAAATACTGGAGATAAAGAAATTATTTCCCTGTAAGTTGTCATAATGTGACCATTTCACTGAAACTCATTTGTGATGATGCACTCGGTGAAGTTCATTGACACTTAATGATTTTTTTTTTCGACAAAAATAATACTTTTTGGTGATCGAAAATATATCAACATTGTCAACACATATGATTTTGTGTAACCTTCACACAGTACCCTGTATTATATTGTAGGAGTGTGGTTAAAAAATAAGTTGATATCTAAAGTTAATAAACAACATTTTATAGAATGTAGTTGCAGTCTATATTGCTCGACCGTAACGTGATAGCGTTTTGGTCACATACCAATAATAAAAATTCCGTGAACCCAATTATTGGAGAGCGCAATTAACTTACAAATAAAATAAGGCGGCGGGGCGAAATTCTGCATGAGGGGGCAATATCTGAAATCTATTGAACCTATTTCGACCATGCTTGCCAACAATTTTGCCCCGCCACTGAACAACTGCTTCACGTGATATGTGTTTTTGCCGTGAGGTTGATGTGTACTCAGAAATAAATGGATATAAAACACGAGTTATATAAAAACATGATTTATATGTAAATAGCGCACAATATTGTTCGGTAACTATTAGCGAAGTACAGCCTACTAAGAACGATATATGTACTATACACTATATTCAATTCCGGTTGATCAGTCTGCAAATATTTTGAACCCGTTTCAACCATTTTTGTGTGAATTTTCAGAGCAAGGGGCCCGACCACTGAACTTCTCTCTTACGTGACATGTTTCCCCCTGTGCAATTGATATGATGAACTCATAGATACACGGATATGACCTTAAACATGAGGTATAAACATAACATATTTATACATGTACATAACTTGGAATACATATTCTGTAAACTATTTGCGAATCTTGTAAGTAACCAGAAAGAGTAATTTCCCGCTAAATCAGCACAACGCCATCCCAAAGGCAACTAACAAAAATGAAATAAGTATGACTGTCTCTGCGAAAATATAGCAGCATGGCAAAATTTTGGTTAAAGAGGGAAACAAGATAAAATAAGGCGTGTGAAATCCAGTGGCCATGACTGTTGTATAAATGCTTGACCTGGTGACCATTATGTTGTGACATATTGATTAAGATTACTTACAGTAGTTTTATATCAGAAACAAGCGCAAGTTTGAGCATCGTCACGCATGTACGTAACAAAACTCACGTTGATGAGAATATTGACTTTTAAAATAATCCAGCTACGTCACGGTGAATGAGTTCGTCCAAAGTGACGCGTTATATACAAAGAATTTAACGATTGATACGTGTACAAGACAGCATATTATCCGAGATCTACGGCTCGAGCCAGCAAAAATGGCCGTGTATACGCGTTCGGCTCGAGCCAAGTTCGGCCCCAATATACCCACGGGGCTTATTTCTGATAGGATTTGGCCTCTACATGTCTTAGACCGTGGAACGCACGGGGACCGAAACTATCTAGTCCTACCAATGACTACTACGCGTTTGTTTCCCCACTGTGCCGACAACTGTAGAAGAACAAATGGTAGCATACATGATTGCAAAAATAAAAACCGTTCGACAGCAGCGTTGGGCAATAGTTATTCAGTGCATACTTGCCCGCGGTCGTCTTCTTTGGGTGTACTTGTTTCTCAAGGGGAGTATATTCTGCATTGATTTCTCTCTCGCTCTGACATACATCGTGCCATGTAAAGAAACAATAACACAAATACGACACCAAAATTATTTTCAGCCACGTTATTTTAACACTAAGTAACTGTGGGGCTGTTCCATTCGGCTCTGAACAAACTGAATGGAACTCAGGCAGATCTCGGCGTCCGTTCGGCCAGACCGTGTAAACGCATAGGAGATAATCTCTTGTTAATCGCTGAGGGAGCAGTAGTTCAGCACCTATAGAATGCTATTGTGTAAACGGAGTAAATATAAAACAGTACGCGACGGCTCGGGCCTAGGTGTGTCCACAGATTACCCAGGTACAGCGTTGACGGCGCTGTTCAACAACTTGGAAGTGGCCTGATGTGTGTTCACGTATTACACAGGTAAAGCGTGTGGGGCGCTGTGCAATAAATACAGTATTTCCACAAGTTCATTCGAAGGCATTCTGAACAATATCCATAATCAATCGTCTTAATTCAGAAATAGTGGGACACACATTGACTCCAACTCAGTACGAGCGTTATTCACCAGCTGTCACTGAAGGTTGACATTCACCAACTCTCACTGCATAGGAATTTCTGAAATACAGATGGGCACGCCAATTTCGGCCCGATTTCCCGAAGATTTCCAGTTCTCTGAGGATCTCTTCTCAAAACCTAGTTGAATACAAGAATTACAATCTAGCTCGAACTCGTTTCAAGCAGGAATGCGATTGTTTCCAACAGAGCTTTCCTTGATCCCGTATGGACACTGCGGGAAATATTTAGTGTCAGCTTCAAATATACAAACTACACTGATATTTCTACTTGGGGTAACTGCACATTTGAACTCATCAACATTTAAACTGTTTTGAGGGGCCTTATAGTGTGTTATCCTGACCTTTATGTTGTTACTTAATGCTTTACTTCCAATAAAGTGCCCGCCCCCCTCTGCGCGAATTGCCTAAAAATACGCGCATCATCCTTGTAGTTGAAACATTAAAATAATTTATCAAAATAACAATGTATGGCATGGACGAGTAGAGTCAAAATTTCACGCCTATGTTGAGGCGAAGAAAATAAATGACTGCCAACGTAGAACTCAGTGCGTTTACACGTCAAATTAATGTGCATAGTATGATGTTGTATACCAAACTACGTCGGACTGAAATTATGGAAATGCAGAAATTGGTTTGACTAGCGTTTCGTGGAATTCCTGACAAAGCTAGCCATATCACTGCATTACGTGATGTCTAATTCCCGACGTATACTTAGATGTATACTCAGTGATGCACAGATATAAACTTAGCACGAGTTATAAACATACGACATTTCAGAATACCTGTTTCGCATCACTTAACAATACGAGATCGTCCTCTATCCCACTGGCACACCAGCTTTGGATAATAATTCCCTGTCAAACAAATGCAATAGCTTGGACGGGGAGGGATTTCGATCACATTCATTAAACATTTTCTATGACACTGACACGCATAGGAGATAATCTCTTGTTAATCGCTGAGGGAGCAGTAGTTCAGCACCTATAGAATGCTATTGTGTAAACGGAGTAAATATAAAACAGTACGCGACGGCTCGGGCCTAGGTGTGTCCACAGATTACCCAGGTACAGCGTTGACGGCGCTGTTCAACAACTTGGAAGTGGCCTGATGTGTGTTCACGCATTACACAGGTAAAGCGTGTGGGGCGCTGTGCAATAAATACAGTATTTCCACAAGTTCATTCGAAGGCATTCTGAACAATATCCATAATCAATCGTCTTAACCTGTACGAAATAAGTAGTAAGTAGTTCTGCCTGCAGCGGCCAACGACGAATTAAGAAGAACCAACTGTCACCAATATGCGACACACTCAAATGATACCAAACCATAAATCAGTCTGCCGTGAAGTCCCTGTCATTCTCGTATATTGAACATGGCTACCAAGCGTTACCTAACATTCAATTGTCTTGAGATGTTTTATTACTTTGGTATTGATTGTGAATTGCTTCATTAACGGACGCTCAATACAACTACTATTCATACAGTACTAGTATGTCAATTACAATTATATTTGCATACACCCAAATTCCGTACCAGGTAGGCAATTGCCAAGGGACTTTGCAACATCCCCGACACTTTCCCATGAGTTCCAGCGACCGTTGTAGACGCAAGAAAGTTACATACCCGCCCACGTGACAGTTAATCAACGTTTGGCCACGAGGGACGAGAGGTAGTTGGGTTATTACATTGTTTTTAGGCACAAAAATCATTGCTGTGCACGACTTAGAAGAAATGTAGTAGAAAATAAAAATGTAAATTCATTTGTTTGGTAGTTTGTTGAGATGTTGACAATGGGATTTAATTAATAATATTAACGTTGTGAGTGTCGCGTTCTATATTTCTCGTGTAAAGGTCTTAGTAATTCGGGATCGTGCTCTATCCCGTTGGCACAACAGCATATCGGAGAATAATTCCCTGTCAAACAAATGCAATTGCTAGGACGGGGAGGGATTCGATCACATTCATTAAACATTTTCAATGACACTGATACTAACCTGTACGAAACAAGTAGTTCTGCCTGCAGCGGCCAATGACGAATTAAGTGGAACCAACTGTCACCAATATGAGACACACTCAAATGATGCCAAACCATATATTAGACCACTGACAAAGTCTCTGTCATTCCCCTATTTGAAAAGGCTATCAAGCGTTACCTAACATTCAATTGTCTTGATGTTTTATTACTTTGGTATTGATTGTGAGCTCTCTATTAACGGACGCTCAATACAACTACTATTCATACAGTATGTGAATTACAATTACATTTACATACACGCAACTCCCGTATCTGGCAGGCAATTATTGAGGGACTTTGCAACATCCCCGACACTTTCCCATGAATTCCAGCGACCGTTGTAGACAGAAGAAAGTTACATACCCGCCCACGTGACAGCTACTCGACTTGTGGCCACGAGGGACAAAAATCATTGCTGTGCACCACTTAGAAGAAATGAAATGGAACATAACAATGTAAATTCATTTGTTTGGTAGTTCGTTGAGATGTTTTCAATGGGCTTTTATTAATATTCTTAACGTTGTGAGTGTCGCGTTTTTATATTTCTAGCGTAAAGGCCTTAGTAATTCGGGTTCGTGCTCTATCCCGCTGGTACAACAGCATAGGAGACTAATTCCCTGTCAAACAAATGCAATTGCTAGGACGGGGAACAATTCTATCACATTCATTAAATATTTTCTATGACACTGATACTTGCCTATATGAAACAAGTAGTTCTGCCTGCAGCGGCCAACGACGAACCAAGTGGAACCAACTATCACCAATTATGAGACACCCTCAAATGATACCAAACCATATATCAGGCCACCGCGAAGCTCCTGTCATTCTCGTTTATTTTGAAAAGTTTACCAAGCGTTACCTAACATTCAATTGTCTCGATGTTTTATTACTTTGCCATTAATTGTGAATTGCTTCATTAACGGACGCTCAATACAACTCCTATTCATACAGTATGTAAATTGCAATTATATTTACATACACCTAACTCTTTGCAACATTACCAAGGGACTTTGCAACATCCCCTATGCATTCCAGTGACCGTTGTAACCGCCCATGTGACAGTTAATCAAAACACAGAACGCGGTACGCCTTTGATGCGTGACCACGAGAGACGAGGTTTAGTTGGACGAAACAAGTGGTTCTGCCTGTAGTGGCCAACAAGAAACATTAGGCTTAAGTGGAGGCAAGACCAACATGTGATACACTCAAATGATACTAAACCTTATATCAGGCATCCGTTTAAGTCCCTGTTATTCTCGTTTATTTTGAAAAGTTTACCTAGCATTCAGTTGTCTTGTCCATTAATGGACGCTCAACACAATTGTTATACCCACAGTTTGTCAATTACAAATATATTTACGTATCGACGAGACTGCTTACCCAATCTAAGTACATTATAATAGGACGGGAGTGATTTCATTCTAGGTCCTCGTCGGTCGTCGTCGTCGGTCCGTCGTCCTGGTTAGTCGTTGTTGCACAACAACACGTATCTACAGGCGTAATCGTGAGGCTGTCACGTTGCAACGAACTTATGTCTACTGTATTTACAGGTTGAAACCTTCACAATAAATGGCGAATGTTATACTACAACTATGTTGTGTGCTCTGAATGTTTCCGTCCACGAGAGCTCAACAAGAACAAAGCTTGCTTTGTGACATAATTATAAAGTAACTCAGTATTTTGTAAAAATCCAGTGCGCGTAGCTGTTGTTGTATCATGACTGACTGGTTGGATGTGATTACCGTGCTCTGTTGTTTTACCGTAACCCATAGCTCGTGACATCATGAGTTATGTATATTGGGGTTGTTTGCAAAACTCTCTCAAATAAAACGCGCTCAAACCTGAAAATCGTTAGCTATGAAGTGGAATCTGATTTGACCATTTTTTCGTGGAATTTCTGACGAGGCCACTGCATCACGTGTTTTGTAATTTCCACCGCGTTCATTTTTATTGGTATGTGAGCACACTGTAGTTGAACTACTATAAACAGTAACAGAATATTTCGTAGAATTGTTAAACTGACCGTGAAGCGGATCTCATGAATATGAATGATTATTGCCATGGTACCCTACATTAAATCTTTACATGGGGATTACAATGTTAACATTTGTGTAATGACCGAATTTGAGATCCTGGGATAGGGAATACAGCAATTTCAACTATTTGTAATTGTATTGTTAGTTCTGGACTAAAATGGCTAATAGACCTTTTCTTTCAAGCGCCCTCTTTGGTTGAATAATATGGTGAAGGTAGTGTCCTCAAATTTGCAGTTTTAATCAATATCAATGCGTTTTAATAAAATAATGCGTTGAATAAGAGTAAGCTAGGCATAGGCCCGATTAAAAAATGTCATCAATGAAAATGATAGAATGGTGACAGAGATATAGTATTATGGCCAAAAATAAAAAAAAACCGTTATTCGACCATCTTTGATCTGGTTATGAAACAAACGAATGAAAATAGTACATAAATCTTGGAAATATAGTAGAAAGGCCAACAAGTCAGATGGCTGTCAATCGTCCATCCTTGATCCTGACGAACAGAAGCACGGACGGTCGGAGGATATGTATTCTAACATGTATAATCTATGTACTAAATTTGAATGAAAACTGACAAGGCATGTCCAAAATACGACATTTTCAAAACACAAGATGGCTGCCAGTCGGCTATTTCGAATTGAATTGCTGAACCACTGCATGTGCATATGTCCCACATAAAGTACTAGAAACATGCAAAGAATGAATGGAATCGGCCCAAAGGATTTTGAAATATGACTCCGGACGACGGACGTACGGGTGAACGCACGGACGGTCGGAGGACATGTATCCTAACATGTATAATCTATGTACAAAATTTGAATGAAAATCGACAAAGCCTGTCCAAAATACGGCATTTTCATAAAACAAGATATCTGCCAGTCGGCCATTTTGAATCGAAGCGCTAAACCACTGCATGTGCATATTTCCCACATAAAGTACTAGGCACATGCAAATAATGGATTCTGAAATATGGCTCCGGGCGGGGGGACGCACCGACGGACGGACGGAGACAGAATTATAAGTCTCCGTTTTAGGAATTTGTCCGAACGGAGACTAATAAAGCGCGTAGTTGTTGCTGCGTTACTGTAATAAAGACAATATTCTCTATCAATAATCCGCCCAAAACAGGAATATTTCTACTAATTCGGTTGTTTTTTTCGACGTTTTTCGAAAAACCTGCGGTTAGGCTGCGAACATTCCGGAGGGGGTGAAACGAAAGAGCATCGCCAGGCGATGGACGCGGGGCTCTTTGGCAACTACCGCAAACGTATCGTGTCCAGTCATTGGTTGGCCACATATAGGTACAAATACGCGTTCTATTTTTACGCGTTAAATGTGGCTCGTCCGTTTCATCCCCTCTGGAATGTTCTACTTTCCACTATATCGCAGATTTTTCGAAAAACGTCCAGAAATCACAAGAATTAGTAGACATATTCCTGTTTTGGGCGGATTATTGATAGAGAATAATGTCTTTATTACAAAAATGCTGAAAAACCGGGAGTTTTTGCCTCAGTTATTTTTTTATCGGCGAAAAACTTCGAACTCGGCAAATTTTGTTGCTCAACTTCCCTCTATCATATACACCCAGCGACACTGATGCTAGCTGACTGTGGTTGGCCTGGGAATCATGCCGACTGCACGTGCTACGTCAATTGATGTATGATTGATTATGCACAGAGAAACAGACATGTATTCGAACACCAGTTATAAACACACGATAGTCATGCATGTACTTAACTTAGAATACCTGTCCCGTATCAATCAACTAAAATACTCTGCGTGAAAGCATAATTCCGTCTCGTACCAATACAAGTGCCACGGAATGAATTCGATGCGATTCGCTTGCATAATACCTGTCGCTAATCTGAATTTGGATGAGATTCCTCATGAATTTTACAAAATCTAAAACTCGTGTGTTTTCTTCAGACCATACAAAGTGGTTATGCGACTTTAATGTTCAAAATGTAAACATGATATCGCAATGTATTGCTTTGCGGAAGAAACAGTACACAACTCTACAATTGCATTTTTTAATTTCCCTAGTCTCCACTGCAATTGCCCACAGTGTATTTGTTACACAAGGAAATGGATCTCGCACAACAGTTCGAACAAATTTGCGTTAACCATTTTAAGTGCATTTAAAGTGTCTCATACAATTAACTTCGTAGACATTCCAGCGTTTCGAACTCGAGCTTGATTATTGGTCGAATACATTTACTTCAAAGAATCTTCACCACAAGAGGGCGTGATTTTCATTGTGCACTGCGCTCTGGGCGCTGGGAGAGTCTTCAATAGTTTAAAATTACCACGATATATCGACACGTGAACAACTCACGTATTCAGGCAGAACAAATGTGATCGGCGACTAAAAATTATTATTCTTTGTTTATATCTTCGAAAACCATCCTTTCACAAGTATACAGTTAGTTTAAACCGGATTTAGGGTATTTGAGTATATATATAAATAAATGTAAATATAGAAGAATAAGCTCAGATAGAATGACACCGAATTTGTCGGTCAGCGTTATATATCTCGTGAATCAACATTCTTAATATAAATAAGAATAAATGTCTTTTCTGGATGGTGGAATAACATTGTCAGTTCCAAGTGCCCCCTGTCCACAGTTCTCGTAAATTGTCACTTACTCTGTCGCAAATCGTAGTGAATTATCTGTGGCCCAACAGGATTATTCTCTAATTGAGCGAGTAAATAGAAAATTGTTTTCCCAAAATAAGGTATCATCCTAGTTCAAAAGATAACATAGTTTTGTATTATTTAAACAATTCTTCTGTTCACCAATAAGTCGCGATATTTAGATATTTATTTTGTCTAGGTGCCTTTCGATTAATAAATATAATGTTATTTTTCACATAATACATACAATAATTTAAAGCTATTTTTACATCTAAAATCTATAATATTCATAATCATAGTAATAATACCACTAATAATTGTAACAGATTGTTCGATATCTGGTAATCTTCTTTATATGTTGTGGTCGAGATACTTCCTTCAAACGATTCCTCTTCTTGAATAAAGCGATCCTGTACTAGACTGTTTGCGTTGCAAGTAACTACGGTTACTTACGGATACACTGTTTGGGTATGCAATAAATACGACGAAGACAGTATATGAATTTAATGCAGTTCTTTTCTTGCCTAGCTTGCGGGGGAATAAGTAATTAAGATACTAAAAATATTCAAAAAATTGTTAGATATTTCGTTAGAGAATGTCGCCAATATTATATTCAATTCAGAAAATGTATATATGAAAGTTTACAAATAACAACATGGTACAAACATTTTTATTTCAGTCAAAATGTGACGGGAAGTTCATGCGAACTATAAATAAGAGTTAACATTTCTAATCTTTAATTAATTAGATGTATTACAAATATGCCGAAGTCCTATCTTTCCAAGTTTCGTAATAGGATTTTGGGTGGAACAGCGAGCTCCATATTTTTCAAGGAGATCGACGAAATCCCATCGGCCGAAACGTATGCTGATACTTTTAATGATGGATATGTTGCCCACCAACCAACATTTGCTATTTCAAAACCTGTAGACTATGTGTTGGTAACGTGAACCATGCGTCGTAAATAGTGGTACATGGAAGGTTGGGTGGCTCTGTAACGATACATCATAAATTTTAGAAACCTTGGTGGTTATACGAAATTTACATCATACACATTGTAGACTATTCGGTAGATACATAAACTATAAGTAATATATTGTAGATCAGTGGTTTGTTATGTTAGCGATACTTCGTTAACATCACCACCGGATTAATTGATTTAAACCTATCGTCAGTCCTGTCCTACTACCTTCTATGATTTGTATAAGCCAGACACAATTTAATAACCAATTACAGGAAAGATAGCCAATGATGAGATAATTATAGTTACACATTTCCGCACTATTGAAGCATCAGTCAATAAACATCGTCATACTTGGATTTATGCGTCAGCTGTTTTTTTCAGATTTTGAGCCTTATTACTTTATATCTGGAATTATGTGTGTTATTAATGCCACACCCTCTAAGCAATCAGTTTGCCGCCGGTTATTGTACTGTTAATATGCCCCTCTTGGACACGCTGCCAATACCTCCACAACTACCACATATAGCCATGATCCTGTTTTCGCACCAGTATTACCAACCACAACATTGATGCAATTCCTCCACAACCCAAGCAATATATGGCTGCAGACTAGAGATAAATCCTAATCTCTATTACAAAAAAACTAACGATTTATCACCACGCCATACAACGCGGGTCAGAAGACATAACATGTTATCACCAGAACAATGAATATGTATGGTGCTCATACAGTTGAGAATGTATACACTCTAGGTGAGAGATTTAGTGTGATTGCATCAGTTTTTAGCTTTGAAATTCATCACATTGTGTCTCAATGGAATGATACTATTTCTGCGCGATGGCCAAAACGGCAAGAAATAGAATATTTACGTGGTAACTGAGATGTTTTTCAAATGCAACTGGTACAATTTTGAAAGTGTGTTTCTTCTCAGATAATAAGATAATAACTGATCATCGGTGTTTCCTGGGGCATTTCACATACCACAAGACGTATTTTTATTGGACCACCAGGAATATCCGAATGTACATCCTTCGATCGATGAAAAGATTTAACCGACGTAACATGACTATACCACATCGTCGTGATCGACTGTGAAATTAAGGTGGTTTATGCCTGTTGTTTCAGGCATGTGTACCTACTTGGCACAGCGACAAATGTATGTATTTTGTGAAGTGAGATGAACGTTTAGATGAAAGAAACACTGCTTTGTTTTATTTGCACTGTTGTGTTGCAGTTACTTTCATTTTTCTACATGATTAATGACATGCAAAATCACGCGGTATAGTTTTATTTTCTAGCAAAACTGTGAACATTACCCCCAGATACAAAGATTCTCTTGTTTCATGCTACAAATAACTAATTAGAGAATAAAACTAGTGGATTTGATATTATTTCCATGTATTGATTATGTATGCTTCTGTTGTGAGTTGTTAACGTGTAGTAATCGTTTGATTGTCCCTACTTGCTTGGAAGCTCAACAATATCATGAATATTTACCCAAATCTATGCAAGAATTTAAATTTCATTAGTCATATTTTCCATTAAAATGACGAAAATAATTGTTTACTTTAATTCATAGTTTGTATCATTTAAAAAAATATTTACTGGGAAAATGGGGACGCGCACTGAGTGATGATGTTACGGTTTGGCCACGGCTGGACAATGCACGTGCGATTCGGCAGCCGTTCAAAACAATTCACTCACCTTGACTACAATTTACAGGCGCAATAGCATGTACGTTTCATGCAGCCAATCGCGAAAATAAAAATGGAAATCTTTTATTCAGCCAATTAAGACAAAGAATGTGAACGAAAGGTGGTCTAGTGGAATGAAAAATACAGCTTATGGCCAATTATAGGACGTGTATCATCCATTTCGTTTAATTGTGATTTCAACTTGCAGCCGCTAAGATAGATCAGGCAGCAATAACTACGCCCATCGGGTCATCAAATATTGCACATTTCCAAATTTCTAGTATGGTAACACAGCCACTCCATTCGAATGTACTAACACGTATTTGAATATCTTTCATAACAGGGAAACTTGAACTCGCAATACTCATTTTGAAGTAAGAACCCAAGTTGAAGAAACACAACAATATATATATATATATAATTACGTAAATATTTTTACTTTATGTAATACAACAATCTCAAAATTAAAACAAACAATTCATTCTTTTTACATCATGCACATTGAAAGTTTTGGAAGTGTACTCGAAAACCGGTGTCTATCTTGTATCGTGGTCAATATTTCAGTTAAATAAAAATAGACAAAACAATTAGTTTACTAACTTGCAGTTTAAACACTTCAGACACATTCTGCAATCACTAGAAATTTACTTTACATACGTGACTAACATATTCATTATTTCTAATTTAAATACATTGCAGGTAAACATTAATTAAAACACTCTAAATATACTATTGTAAGTAATTAGTAAAATGTTAACAAGGGAGTTCATGAATAAAGAAAACAAAACAATATCTACACAACACACTTATGCGAGCACGTTATTGTGGACATGCATTATACCCATGTGATGTCATATTTGCATTTTACATGATTCAGGTATGGTTTGTTGCTGGTAGTTTTATGGTTAGCAATGCTATAAACGTAATCTATTTTCAAATAAGTCTTTCCAAATACCGAGGATATTTTGTTGGTTAGCTAGAACTTTAGCATGTTTCATAATTTCGAATATAGAAACCCCTTGTTCAAAGACGTAGTGATTATCTGTTTCAGTGAATGGAAAGCCGCGGGTGTGAAGAGCAATAATAATCCCTTCGTTTGTGAAAACTGGGGACCCTGACGCGCCGTGAAACAAGCACGTTTCATAATTTATACGTCTAGTATCGGAAGAAACCATGATATCATCTAGTGAAAAGCTTTTCTGATAATACACAGGGAATTTATTAAGCGAGGTAATGTTGGTTGTACATCGAGCATCTAAAAGCATTGCTTGGCCCTGAGGATGGCCTAATATATTTATAGCCGAATGCTCACTGGGAATTTGACCTAGATTACCAGTTAACGATGCTGGAATTTGTTGGTCTTTATTATGGTCAGATATACCATTGGTGTCTTGCACATCAATTTCCATATCTTCGTCAATGTCTAATTCTAAAATTGCATAGTCAAGGTCCTCGATTTCACTGAAGAAAGGCATATTGAATTTCATTCCTTCGTATCGCAATGTATATTTTGTTAAGCTGTGTTGTGTACTAACAAAATTAAAACTAATAGTTACATCATTTGGTCTAAATGGATTTGCCCTCATTGCGTCGTATATCAATCTAACTACGTGGTAATTAGTTATGATGTACTTAGAGCCCAATCTGAAAACAGTGGAATTCATACTATGAGGCCACTTTATAATACCTACTGATTTCTGTAGATGATTCAAGATATTTAAAGGAATGGCTGTGAAAGTTGAACTAAATAAATTTGACAACCGATTCCTTACATTATTTGCAGTTGCCTTGGGTTTAGTCTGTTGCAATACCTTACGAACTTCTTTAGCGGTGTCTTCAATTTCACCAAGTTTCGACAAAATGAAATTAGCGTCTACAGATCGATCGATTTGCTGTGGTCTCCCGTGAGACACTGAAGCGATTCTACTAGAGCCGCCTTGTTTTGCCCCCAACCAAATGACAGAAAATATTTTACCAATATAGCTTGAAGCCTGTTGGTCTAAGCTAACATTATTTTCCCCAGCTGAAGTTTCTCTAAGTTCACAATTTCTAATTTTCTCTGTAAAACGTCCGTCGCGTGTTAAGGCATCAGACAGAGTATCGTCCTGAATGACCATGACACCTACAAGTTGGTTTTTGTAATGACAATGATTTAAAAATGTAACCATTCGGTTCGGTTTATGTTTGTCGACATAACTAACATAAAATATACCGAGATAGCTATCCCCTTGTTCGAGCTGTCTTCTGTACTCCGTTACTTTGGGTTGAACCTTTTTTTCAATGACGACTAAATTCTCCCCTGCTACTAACTTCGCAGGCATGCCAAAGTTAGGAATATACCTATCTATGTTGCGTTGTTCACTAACGTTCACTTCCGGAAACAAATTGTTGATGATTGATTTGTATTTGTATTGATCGAGAAAATGCTTAGTTACATCAAGAATAGTATGGTGTTCGTCAAATTCCAATTTGTGTTTTTTTAGTTCCTTGCCCATTTTCATGTGAAACGTTAATGTATTTTTCTTTGTCGTTATTGTTCTGCAATGAAAGATATATTATAATTAACATTTATTTATCATATGCAAATTATTAAAAATTAGGCAAACGATTGAAGCGTACAATTGAAGATCACGCCTTAACTAGATATTTTAATACGCACGTCCTAAAATTGGTGTTCCCTAGGTTAATAAGGCAAACTAGTTCAAAGCGACATATTTTTAGTTGCATAACCATCTTCATTTATTAACATGTTATTTATCACTAACTAAATGATGCGAACAAATGTACGGGCCAGCAAGCATATACCCCAACATTTTTAAGACTATTCAGACATGGAAGTTTGACACATTATGAAAATTGAAGATATTTTCGCTTATCATTTATGTTAATACCTTTTCAGGTCCAAGTCCACTTTAGATGCACTTCCTGTAGCAGGTGCCTCTTCATGGCGACCACCTGGAATAACAGATGGAGATTTATGTATATTCTAAACTACATCCTATAGATTATGTGGAACATATTCACAATGCAAACACATATCAAACCTATTAATATTCTTGCACTCGGTTTTAAAGGTTGTTGGCAAAGGTTGTGGTTTCATATTAAGCTCAGTGTCGACAGATGAACACAACTTCCAGTAATAGATCCTACACCAGCGTAGCTTACAACACTGCGCGCGATCTAACTTTGTTGTCTTGGGGAATTCTCTGATTGCTTGTCTCAGTGCGGGGAATTATTTAAATAATGTCCTGCCCGCGGGGCAATATCTACATAATGGCCGCTCGCCATCTAGATACAAAGTCAACAATCATGTCAATTTAAGAGACTATGCAATCCATAATCAATATATGTTTATAGAAAATACCAAATTGGAAAATTATGATACAAAACGCAACGATCCTGCTTGCGTTCGAAGTCGCAAAGTTTCATAGGGCATTCTACTTTGATCGATCAGAAATTCGGTATCAGTCGTCGGTTTTCAAATCTTGTCACGTTCATAAATACACATAAATTGATTATCCAGAGTAACGTATTAGTAGTTCACTTGCGACATCTTTAATATGCAAAGCTTATGTTAAAAATGATTAAAACAATCAGAGATTAACTCATGCATTATGCTGTATAGAAATTTAGCCCATGTTTTGTAAGCTAAAACGTCTCAGACATACTTTTGGTGTATGTGACCTTGAATGCACATCAAGACAAAATAATTGGTTAACCAGTGAAAATATAACCAAGTGAAGTAGCGTTAGAAAATTAAAGAGAACATGATTAACTTTACTCAGTGGATTACTTATATTCCACATCTAAAACGTAGTACTGAACAGCGATAAACCAGACAGCATGTATACACTGAGTTGTATGTTGTGTGTGACTGCTTATTTACTAAAATCACATAATCAAAGAGTACATAGCATATCAATTGCGTATACGTCTGACAATAGATTGGACTTCCATATGCAATTAATAGAAAGCTGTTTGGGACTCCAGATGATTCAACAAAGAATCCACAAAACGCGCAGTTGAGAGAAGCATAATATTTATTCAAACTAAGGCATTTCCGAAAGTTACATTCGTTTTTTAATTCATAATGAATCTTCAGTATTATGTTTTGTGTAGTTAGTGTGTAGTAAGCATAGATTTTTATTAAACTAGTGCCTATATTTATCATGTATGTCTGATCTATTTAACATAATATTGGATGATACGCGTGGTAATATAGGAATGAATCTTTTGGAAATGCTTTAGTTTGAATGTGAGTATGTACATTTCTCTATGGTTCTTTATTAAACCATTGGGCCCCAACGATTTTCTATAGCAATTGAGTCTCCTTGAATGACGGTTTGACTAACAGCATGTGGTTATAGTTAACACTACTTACTGACAAGGGAAGTCTGTCTTCTTGGACTGCTAGTATGCATGTCAATGCGGCATTCAGCTTCCTCTTCAGACGCACTTCTCTGTGTCTTTTTCTGGTGATCCCCTGGTATAACAGAGAGAACATATGCGTGATGACAAAATGGAACACGTGCTAGCATTTTCGTAGGGACAAAGAAACTAAATTACAAATTTCACGATCATTTTGGCTAACAAATATAAGCAGTTGCCATTGCAGTTCAAGTTTGAAATTGTCAGTTACATAAAAATGGTACCAGCATCAAATTACTAGGTTGTGTGATTTTCACGAACAATGCATAATGATTCAACAACAATTCCAGCAAATATGAAATAAAACATTGCATGCTAAGGTACTAGTCGCTGAGGAAAGACAATGCTTGAACACAATCTGTCAATGTATGTCCGAAAAATAGTAAAACTAACTTGTCCATTAGTCAGTCATTTTTATTACAATCACAAAGCAAACTTGCGTGCATCAAAACATTTGTATGATATGATATAAAATCGATCAATGCAGACAGAAAATTGACCAAAAATGATTTCTGATTGCCGATTCATGTTCCGATGTGAATTCCAATTTGTATTCTGTAAACTAAACTTCAGATTGAACCGGCAATGAGAAATAAGCAAACAGCCCCACATTCCCAAAGGATATCTAAGGAATGGCTAAAATACATATAAAACGCAGAATGTCAATCAGACGACCATTTTTAAACAGATTGCAAAAAATGGCGTGCATCAGAAACGCACTATGACTGCTTCCAATACCAAGTTTAATGAAATAGGTCAGAGCATGCCTGAAAACAGAGACATGTTCAATTGACGATGTTTTTGTTTTAAATCTGTAAAGGGCCAACACAAGGAATAAACTATCATTGAAATGACACGCAGATGGACGACACATTGAGTCTAAATCACAAATCCCTGTTTCTGACAGTTATTAATAAAAGACCGATGTACTTCAAAATACTTACTGTCAGCGGACGTCTGTGTCGTAGGAACGTGACCACCATTTCTGAAAATGAATTGTTGTTTGTTATTTTTGATGAAATAGAAATGTGAAAAAAGCTATTATAAACGATCATGAATTATAAAAAAACAACTCAGACGGACCTGGCATTATTATTAATATAATATCTATAATATCCATAATACATCGTTTGCAAAGTATTCTCACCTATTCTGTGTGCAGTCCATGTTGAAACACGGTAGAATATACATGGAATAAAAAAGTGCAAATGAATTACTATAACCACATTCTTACATTCTTATCTTTATGATCTTTGTTTTTATGAAATGAATAATGGACCAATCACGGTATCCAGAATAAATACCAACACATTAGTGAAATTGTCAACACATGTTCATCCACAAATTATGTTTTTGGCATACCTGTGTTGCTGTGTCCGTGTGTCTGTGCGGACCGTGTCTACGTTGATCTAAAAAAACGAATAAAAAAATATCAAAATGTATTATATATCTTCAAGCTGAATTGTCGTTTTTCCGGATTTAATTCGTTCAATATTTAATATTTAACTCTATAACATCGACAGACAATAATAAATAATAATGCACCTACACGAAGTGCTGCTCTCCGATCTACCAGGACTCGTAGTTTTAGCATCGGTTCCGCTTCTTGCGGTCTTGTTGGAATTATTCTTAAAAAAAAAAAAACGTCAGTGATTTAAAAACTGCTGATCGACATTCGTGTCACACATCTTCCATTTTTGATGTTATTACAAATACCAAAGTGTCATATATCTCAGTTCTCAAGACGCGGGGCCACAATAATGGAATGATTTGATTTTGAGCTTGATTTCCTGTTTTTACAGTTCAATTTCGAAATCCCTGTCTTTCAGAGAGGTATATGGCGCTGAGATATCTTTACTTCCTCAAAATTGACTGTCATCAAAAGTATATAGCACATTAGAAGCGTGGAAAACCCAGCGTTTTTCGATGTGTTGACGCGACTACTCCACTACGATACTATGACTTTTGTTTGTTTCGTTTTACATTCGATTACACGCATAACGCAGTGAAGGAAAATGCTTCCACAATGAGTTACTGTTAAGTCTAGAATCTAGCATACAACTACCCTCAAAGTTGAGGTACTTTTCAAACAAGGCATGATGACTCCTTCGGCAAACCATGTTTCATTATATTTCGTGGCCCCGGGAGTTGTCTTTTGTTACACTTTCATTTTTCACTCATTTTTGTAAGAAATAACCTCAGAAAACTAATAATAGTTGTCTGAGAAATAACAAATATTTCAGATTGGGCGAAGTTTTGGGGTTTTAATACAAAAATGAAGTTTGCTTGGAAATATGATCTGACCTTGACTCCTGAAATTTCTTCCACACAAGTAGCATTTTCAGCACGACAAGACGGTTTTAACCATTTAGTCAAACTGCCACTTCGTAGTTTTCCTGTTTGCTTCCTTTTCTGTTTTGGCATATCTAAGAATAATCATAAATATCATAGTTTGAAACGATCCATAATGATATTAACAGGTTCAGGTAGTTACATCATTAGAAATCCACATACACCTTCTAAAGTTAGTATTAGGCCCTCATATACAGGTTGGGAGGTTGTATGCCCTTTTTAAAGAAGCCATATATCGAAATAAGTATGTGTCATATGACAGGTATTACCGGTTGATAAGTGTCGTTTTGAATAAATCAAGAGTTGAAGCTAGGTATTGTAAGCTCACTACGGGCAAGGACATACATAGATGGAAACTTTAGTAATTTATTTCCACAAAAATAAATAATTGATATAAATGTATAATAACGTTATATCAATGACATGAACACATTGTTGATTGTTATTAGATGATACCAGGTTTGGACTTATACAAGCCACGTCTAAATGGCACCGCTATTTGTGGGTTGTAGTTTTTGAATTGTACTCCAGGATGAAAAGCAGATAATTACATTAAATCAGTATATTTTCAAAATTAGATTTAATTCCATTTATGCTTCCTTCAAGCTGTCAGTCGTTGTATTTCAAATGAAAAAAATTCTAGTCCCCGGCCTATTCATTTTATTCATGAAGCTCATGAACCGCGAACTTGAAGGTTATTATTGTTTCCTAAATTTTGATAATGATTGTGTTGTTTTCATCTCTTTTCTACGGGTAAAATATCCTGATATGAATGAGTAGCAATAACCCCGGTCGGAGTCGAGTTATCACGGAATATTAACTGTGAATCGAGTAACATCTCTCGGTATACCGGCCTTTCAATGGGGTTCGATAATAATATACACATTTTCGGTCTTCGAATAAAATATCAACATTGTCAACATATATGCCTGCTGATTCCGTGAAACCTTCTCGCATGCCCTGGATTGCCAAGATTTGATGATGCGTGTTTAATACTTCATTGTTTAAAAAAATAGTTGATATCTAAAGTCAATATATATATTGTTATATAATGTAGTGCATTACGATAGTGTCAGCTAAACATCACGTGATAGCGTTGTCTTTACATTGGTAAATCTGCAAAATAACAATCAAATCTCTTGTTCAACATTGTCATAATAACACAGGATTCATCTTCCTTGCTGTTGCAGTGCTTAAGATATAACAGTTATGCATATTAATGAGGTTAGAATTCCCCAACCCATGGGCACCCAGACACAGGATCTAGCCATGTGCCATTCAGTTGGCAAAATGTACCTCAAGATTAGAATGCACAAACAAGTTTATTATTTTTTTTTCATATAAGGCTATGACCAGACATGTCATATACATAATTATTTAGTTGATCTGTCGATGCACCTTTGAGAAACAAATGCCTAAACTTTTTTTTCAGTTTTTTCTATAATCCAAGATGGCAGCCAAACCACGTGACTGATCGAAACTACATTATTTTTCTCATATGCAGACATGTTATATACAAACACGTCAGTTAATTTGTTGAAGCACCAATGAGAAAGAAATGCGCAAACGTTTGGTAATTTTTGTTAATAATACAAAATAGCGGCCAAACCACGTGACCAATCAACGTTTTTGGCTCAAACTTGAAAGAGCTATGCATGTAGATGGATTATGCAAAATTTCAAAGGATTTAGCCTCGTTTTCGAAAAAAAATAGCTGCAAAAGTTACGTGACCTATAATGTTCTTTTATATCATTAAGGATAGGCATCGGCTACATGTGCAACACAACAAAAATTAAGACTTCTGGACTGCCACAAAGTGGTCAAAATGGCCGCTTCCGTACACTAAATTCAAGAATGCGAACAAATTAATGGACCAATCAAATTCTGTTTTCCAAACTAAATTGATATAATAGGTTAGACGAAGCTATATACTAAGTTTCATATCGACTGGCCGTGTCAGCATTTTTTTTAAATTGTCAACAGTTTTCTTTGACGATATTTATTGCACTTATGAGGCACTACTATATACAGTAAAAAAAATGAAAGCCCTAGACCCTCAGATGGGGTGATTGCCCCCTACCTCTGGTCGAATTTTGACCCTCAATAGCGTTGTATAAATGATAGGTTGTGCTTGTCTTACTTTGTTTCAGTGACACGATGACCATTATGTTGTGACATATTGATTTAGATTTCTTACAATATTCTTATATCAGAAACAAGCTTCGTCTCATGTATCTAATAAAACTCACGTTGAGGGGGATGTTGACTTTTTTGACAAAACGGCTACGTCATGGTGAGTAAGTTCGTTTAAGGTGACACGTTGAATACGAAGCATGTAATAATTGTCGTTTACATGACAGCATTTTATCTGAGCCCAACGGCTCGAGCCGGTGCGAACCGTCAAAAATGACGGTGTATATGCGTTCGGCTAGAGCCAAGTTTGGCCCTAATATACCTTTGGGTTGAGCTCTGATAGGATGCCAAAACTATCTCGTCCCACCAATGACTACATGATTCTGCATTGATTTTCCTCTCGCTCTGATATGCATCGTGCCATGTAAATAAACAGTTACACAACCACGACACCAAAATCGTTTTAAGCCATGTTATTTAAGGGATGCTCCGTTCGTCTCTGAACAAAGTGTAAACGCATAGAAGATAATCTCTTGTTAACCAGTGGGGGGGGGGGCAGTAGTTTAGCACATATAGAATTCTGTTGTGTAAACGGAGTAAATACCATTTAGTACGCGACGGCCAGGGCCTAAGTGTGTCCATAGATTACCCAGGTACAGCGTGACGGCGCTGTTCAACAATTTTAGTAGTCTGGGTGTGTGTTCACAGATTACACAGGTACAGCGTTTTCACAAGTTCGTTAATATTTTAAGACGTTTTGACCAATATTCATAATCACTCGCTATAATTCAGAAAGAGTGGGACACGCATTGATTACAGATCCCAACTCACATACAGGAGGAGCGTTATTCAGTAGCCAATTTGAATATACACACGTTGATAGATAGAATTACTATAACGTATATCAGCATTGTTAAATCAGCCATCTGCTGTAATCACAGAGCCACTGAAAATTAGGGTTGACATTCACCCACTATCACTGCATAAGACATCCAGAAATACAGATGGAAACGCCACTTTCTCTCCGATTTCCTGTTCTCTGAGTTTCTCTACTCATAAACTATTTGCATGCAAGAATTACACTCTAGCTGGACTTCGTTTTAAGCAGCAATGCGACTCTTCCCAGCAGAGCTCTTCCGAAACCTATGTGGACACTGTGGAGAATATCTGTTGACTTATTCAGATATACAAGCTCAACTGGTATTTCTACTTGGTGTAATTCCACACTTGAGCCAATCCCATAGGTTGAAATGTGCGCCATCTGATAAAGACTGCGTACTTTTTGACAGGTATTTATGACTTCTAAAATGGACTGTATGGACTAAAACAGAACTCTGCCTATGTTTTGTTATGACGTATAAACATTGTTTGGAATTGCCTATAGTGTGTTATCCCGACCTCCAGTTCGGAATGTAGTAGACTTTCGTTTGTCAAAACAGAAAAAGCTGGTTAAAAAAATAACACTGATTAATGACGAATAATGTTTTACTTGTAATTATAGCCATTGCAACACTCTATCCAAAAAGTGTGATAACACAGAGTTTAACATTAATTACGTCACGTTTCTGCTAAATGAACAAATTCCATTGTGTTGCTATTTTTTATACTGCCACTAGAAAACGAAAACAGTTAGCCAACATATTTTTTATGTAAAATAGGTGGTTTTTGAATTGTTTAGTTATTTTACAAAGGAGTGGAGAAAAAATCTGTTATAAATTAGAGTACTGTGTTTTCAAGGGCCAACTAGTCATGAAATATAATTAATGGCCATTGTATCAGGTTGTGCTGTCTCTCCAACTGGGTCGGACTGGAATTATGCAAATGCTGAAATTGATTTGACCAATTGTAGTGTGGAATTCCTGACAAAACCACCCAGAGGACTGCATCACGTGATGTGTATTTCCCTCCGCATTTTCGATTACGCTGATACTAACCTGTATGAAATGCTACCAAAGATAAAATAACTCGAGCTTTTGTGAAATCCAGTGCGTGTATCTATTGCTATATGACTGGTTCGATGTGCTTACTATAATGTTATACCGTGGTCGTGACATCACGATTTATATCTATCAGGTATTGTTAACAAAACTCAAATTTAAAAATCGTACCCGATAAAGTGGAAACTGAAGTTGACCTTCCGGTGGTTGTCGCATCAGACTTATGACCGGTAGACCCAAGTTCAAATCCTACCTTAGACTGAACATCAAAGGGTCGACCCCTACCCTGAGTGAGTGTACCACAGACTCAATGGGCAGGCTTAATCCACTGGCCGAGATTCATTCACTAACAAATGCGAGTTTGGGGGAACCTTGGTTAAGGTCCGCAGGTGCTTGTGTTCGACCAAGCATGGGTGACGCCAGGTAGCGCATTAACAAATTGCCATTTGATGCCATGTAGTCCCAAACATGAATATGACATCTGTGACAGCACTTGAAATTTGTACATACAAAACAAAGTCAGGAGAAACAACAGTGACATCCAATGTCTGGAACTGTGGCCTGGCACAAAAAACTATTTAAAAACAAGTTAACCTATTTTTACGTAGAATTTCTGACAAGGACATTGCGTCACGAGGTGAGTATTTGTCATCGCGTTCGTTGATTTATCGATATGTGAGTACACTGTGGTGCGATTACCGTGGTCTTTTGTTATACCGTGTACCGTGACCCTTAGTTCGTGACGTCATAAGTTATGTCTGTCAGGTGTTGTTTACACAATTATAGTGGAAACTGAGTTGATCAATCTTTCGTGAAATGTCTGACGAGGCAACTGCATCACGTGGTTTGTATTTTCCGCCGCGTTCATTTATTTATACGCAGAGCGACAAATGTGAATTAAAACACGAGGTATTAACACACAATAATGTACATGCACATAACTCGGAATATCAGTAAACAACTCGGCTATGTGTACTGTCGCATGGATACATTTTATACAAG